AGATCATCAGCAAGATCAAAATTATCTCACACTTTTATAATCAAACTTTTGCAAGAACTTTCACCATAACATATGTTGATCATTTTTTTGTGATCTGCAACAGTGTCCACTATGCTTATATTAATAATAACAATATTGTTGGTGGAAGTTTAAAAAAATATTGTAAGATTTGGTGGACATCAGCCTATGATCCTTTATCATCAATTGTATGTTTAGAATCATGCTTTATTTTAATTTTAACAGAGCATAATGATCTAATTTCAAATCCAATTAAGAAAATTTTATGGGAATATAATTTTTTCAGTAATGTTTGAAACCTTTCCTATATTTTCAAACCAATGAAAGATTCTGTGGTGGTTTTGCAATCAGAAAACGCAAATCTTGCTGATTGCTATCTACATCTTGTTAAGTTAGCTGTTGCAGTTAAAAGAGTTCCTATCAATATAAATTCTAGCCTTAAAAAATTCTGCATTAATAAATTTAATCTACAGTGGAAAGAATTCAATTATTCAGGATATTTTTTAGCATACTTTTTGCATCCAGGTTACAAAGGAATTGGAATTAGATATGGCCAATTTCAAAATATTGCAGAAATTGCAGCAAACTATTGGAAGTCAATGCAAAAATCAAAAAAATCTTGTACAGAATTACTTTCTCAATTGCAGAAATATAGATTACAACAAAAACCTTATAATGCAACATATAATGATCAATATGATAGTCCTCTTTCATGGTGGTATACCTGTGAAAATAATTATGACCATCTATATACAACAATTAGCAATTAAATTATTTTCAGTTGTTCCACATAGTGCTGGATGTGAACACATTTTTTCATACTTGGGACATCTTTATGGAAAGAATCATTAAAATCTAAATATTGATTCTGTAAACAATATTGCTAAAATCCATTCCTTTTATCTAAGCAATATTAAAAAGAATTAGAATATACTGGTCAAACTTTAACAGAAAAGGATTTAAAGAGTATGTTGGTTGAAGCAGAAGTTATTTCAGATGATGATGATGAAAGTAATGATGATGAAAGTAATAATTATGAAAGTAATAATTATGAAAGTAATAATTATGTTGATGATGAAATCAATTTGACAGATTTAGAAATTCATGATATTATGGATTTGGAAAATAATTTTTTTTAGAAGACAATGATAAAATGGATGAGGATATGGATGAGGAAAGTGGTGGAGATTACAGTGATGATAGCAATGAATTAGATTATGATACATTAGGATTAGTTCAAGAATCAATGAATGAGGATTTATTTTCAGAAATAGTAAATGAAGAAGCATTTCAACAACCAGAAGAAAACCAACAATTATTACATGATTCTACAGGTTTTGAAGAAAGTTGTGAAGCCAATGATGAATATGAAGTAATAATTTCTACTAAAACAAGAAGCAAATACCCAATTAAGCAACATAATCTACGATATAAAAATGCTTAAAAATTTGTTTTAAATAATTCTATTATTTTTAAAATAAAATTTGAATTTATACTTTCATTAATTTTGACATTTTTTGTCACCTTTGATGCTTTCATCACTTTCATCACTTTCAACAAAAGTACTTATCATTTGCTGAAATACTTTCTACCCTCCAAAATACTTTTGGCACCCAACCTTGATATGTACAAATGCCTGTGTCATGTGATATGATTATTATTTTTTATATATTATAAAAATGAAAAGTTGGCATGTAACTTTTACTTATCATTTTCTTATTTAAATTCTTGTCTATCTGGAGAATCATTACCTCGTAACTCCAAGAATAGAATGATCTGTATTTGTTAATATATTATAAAAATTAATGTGTAACTTTTACTTACTATTTTTCCTATTTAAATTCTTGTCTGTCTTGAGAATCATTACCTCGTAACTCTGAGAATAGAATGATCTGTGTTCATTTGTTTATATAATAAAAATAAATAAATACTACCGTTACACGGAACATGTCATTAATATTCATTTATTATTAAACATTGACAAACGTTTTTAAAATTTATGTGGTTATTTTTACAAAATGTTCCAAAATTTATGTGGTGGAACAAAAACATAGTTAAACATTGTTTTTTATTTTTACAAAATGTTCTAAAATTTATGTGGTGGAACAAAAACATAGTACAACTTTCCAAATTTTTTCAAATTTTTCTATCACACACACATTCATACGCATTCACACATTCAATTTATTCGCGGGTCATCAATGATTTTTTTCATAATTGCGATGATTTATTTATTTTATAAATAAATAGCTCGCATTTGATTAAAATTGTTTTAAATTATTTTCTTTTCTTTCTTGCTTTTGATTAAAAATATTTTCATCTGGACAGTTATTGCCTTTATCCACACGTTTATTAATAAATTAATAAAAAATACAATGAATTTTCAAAATAGTCAAGGTGATGTTCCTTCACCGGATGCACCTAACGTTCCTAGTGAAGCTTATTCTGGACATGATCATTTTCACTCAAGCATTCCGATAAATATCTTATACGACAACGACAACAACAACAACAACAACAACAACAACAACAACAACAACAACAACAACAACAACAACAACAACAACAACAACATATCTCACCAGCATACAAACGGAGATAATTTGAATAACAACAACATATCTCACCAGAATACGAATGGAGATAATTCAAACAAGGATATGCTTTTTATAGCTGTTCAGCTTCTAACATCAGCAACAACAGCGGCGGTAACAGTCTCAAAAGAGGCTGCAATAGCATTATTAATATTTAACTTAGTAGCTGTTTGCTTCTTAATTATGATAAAAAGAAAGCTATTAGATAAATTTTGAATACCATAATAATTTATTTTCTTTAATTTATTTATTTTTTTCCTGTTGGTTAAATCGGTCGCATTATTTGTTAAAAAAAATTTTTTTAAAGTGTACGCAGTAGAAACTCGATTATTAATTAAAAAATATATGATGAAAAATCGTTAGAAATTGACATTTAATTTAATTTATAATTCTTAATAAAGTTTCTTATTTTGCACTTTGCTCTCTCAAAAATTTTATAAAAAGTTGCCAAGCGCAGCTTCGATACCATAAGAAGCCACACATTCTGACAATAATTCGTCATTTAAAATGAGGCAACGCAACGCCATCTATTTTTTTCCAATTAACCACACCAACACGTTAACGAAAATTTCCCATCGCCATCGGTATCCAACCTTCGAAAATGAAATAATATTAAATTGGTTATGATTAAAAATGGCTCCTCAATTAATCGCGGTTAATTGCGGTTCCATATACTTTTGGGCAAGTATTTATATATTAGTCGGACGACATTTCACTGACTGATTTTAATATATGATCGACATGGCACGTTTTCTGTACAACGGACTTTGGCGAATGAATTGAACGTAAACTCATTATTAAACAATTTTCGTGCCTCTAAGT